CTTGCCTTTGCTGGTCCTCATTGAACATCACTCCTTGATTGTTGCCTCCTGATGATGTATCCAAAGAGCCAGTCACAGGACGATGTTCTGTGGTCCGTAGGGCCCTCATTGGCCGATTTCCAGATGTAGATCCCTAGGCCTTTCTTCCTAGTCTGCCGTAGTCTGGCAGCTCTGCTAGATCCTGTGAGCCAGCAGGTATTTGAAATGCTGGTGGCCATAGTTTCCAGCATCAAAGCAACACACAAGCCACCTTGGTACAGCCACTGACAGGTGGTGGTGGAGGCTGGAATACAGTGATAGGACTGGTGGACACAGATGGAGAAATGTTCTCCCAGGCCATTTCCCAAGCCGGGTTCCCGAGTCCGTGGCAGCTGGCTCCAGCTCTGAGACCTGGGCCCAGAAGTCCCTGTCTGGTCCCCCCAAATCTCAGGCTGCTTCCTCCTGGCTCCTGGAATCCTGAGAAGGAGGGGCTCAGAAACTGTGGGCCTAGAGTCCTCACAGGACCACGTTACTCTCCTCTTTGGCCCCATATTGGGGCATGGGGAATAGGTGCTGAGAGAATGCCTGAAAAGACTAAAACCCGTCAGCCCACGGTTCAGCAGCCTGTGGCATAGAAGGCACAAAACAAAACCAAATACCTAAATCCAAATGCCATCATCTTTCCATCAATAATCAGGGCAGAGTCACCCTCGGGTGACAGGAAATCCACCAATAACACGTGTAGGTCAGAGTTGCCCTCGGGGGATTGGCAGGTGGCATTGTGGTCTGAAGTGTCTGCAGGGCCCTCCAGGATGGTGAGGGAGCCCAGGGCCCGGGTAGCTTCCTGCAGGGCCGGGTTTGTGCTCGGGGTGGGGACGGCGCTGCAGCTCTGTGTCAGCTGCTGGCGCACAGGTACACGGCCGCGTCGCCCGGCTGCAGGGCGTCAATATGAAGGCTCAGGTGAGCTTGGTCTGGGCTTTTGGGGGAGAAGCGGCCAGGCACAGACTCGTTTACAATGAGTTTTCTATTATTATAGCTAAACATGACCCTCAGCTGTTGTGTGGAGTCCTGCCTGTACCAGAACATGGCATTGTGGCCCAGGTTCTGCTCACAGTACAGGGACACACGGCCTCCCATCTGTGTAACCAGGTGTCTGGGGTTCTGGGAAATGGCTGAGTCCAGGGCGCCTGTGGAGAACAGAGGGGGGTTCAGAGCAAGCCAGGAGGCCTCTGTGCTGGTGCCTCAGGGCTTCTTAAGGGCTCCTAGCAGAGCTTGTCCCCTAAGCCCGGGA